CATTTGTTCCTGCAATGATTGGAGTAGTTAGGGAACTAGAGGAACATTCGATGCTGTGAATAGGAAGAATTGAATTACATTGTCGACCAATTACATGCAGAAGCTATCTCGTGTCACCGGTTGTTGTTTCGTGATTAACCCTTAGCACTCCAGGTGGTTTTGTAATCTATCAGCAACTCCAACTAGTTTTTACAGTATCCCTAGCGAAAGTGAAGAATGCTATAACATTTCTTAGATTTATTTTCCTTCTTAGTGGAAAATTTGGATGTGTGAAAAATGTAATAATTGTAGGGTAGTTTCTTCAAGATTCATTAAAATATCTAATATTATTCCTGGTGCAATATTGGAGCCTACAGAGTTCAAAGGGTTAAATATGATAGTGAAAAAATCCAAATAAACTTCAATATACTTTATTCACATAGAATGAATTGAAATATGAATGAATTGAAATATTATATATAATTGAAATATGAACGAATGAATTGAAATATTATATATAATTGAAATATGAGTGAATGAATTGAAATATTATATATAATTGAAATATATTGTGTTTGAAAAATTGAAATGGCTAATGCAAGTGCGAACACGAGTCAACTCGTGACCGGCCAACAATGTGTTAAGAGATTTATTATTGAGAGTCGAGGTAAGCAACCGTGAGAGATGCGCTGTTATCGTTGATCACGTTTTATCGTTGTCGTCATTCTGGCCGGACGATTATTGTTAGATACTCGCTTTATGACTGTAGCGTGGGGTCTCCGTTTTACTATAAATGTCCGGCGCACGGTGGACCTTTCGGATTAAGAGGGAATCTGCTTCATTTTCTCATTGTGCCTCTACGGCTGTTTAGTAGGCATTCCTTTGAGCGCGGAACTCGCGCAGCTATACAGCGTACCCTTAAACGAGGCTACATAACAACAAGCGAATTCCTGTCACGACTGCAGTACAGTGTTTCACATTTTATCTCTGCGCGACAGCGCTGGCAGGTCCCGTCGGCCATTTTGCTAACCGTAAAAGAGATCCTTTAGACGGATACGGTTTACGTCTAAATACGTCGGAACTTCAACGTCGGAGCCTATTCGGCATTGAAAATTTACTGGCTACTTTATAGGGAGTCACTGAATATTGTATTACCAAATTGTTTACGATATTCCCTGCAACTTCGATCTGATCGTTGAATCGCGGAACTTATGCGTCGGCGATTATAAAAATATATTAGCGACGTGAAACGAAGATCTTGATGAGGTTGAATGAAACTTTTTTTGAATTGTCGAAACTTCAATGTCGGAACCTATTCCGCATTGAAAATTTACTAGGTACTTTATAGGGAGTCGCTGAATATTGTATTACCAAATTGTTTACGATATTCCCAGCAACTTCGATTTGATCGTTGAATCGCGGAGCTTATGCGTCGACGCTTATAAAAATATATTAGTGACGATGAAACGAAGATTTTTATGAGGTTGGATGAGACTTCTTTTTAATTGTTTATTAACTTTTGTATTTGGAAATTTTTCAGTAGAAATATTTGAACATTTTTTGATGAGATAAAGACATTTTGTGAAACTGGAAGAGAAATCATACATTGGGAACAAAGTTAATTTTAATATTTCTTAAATTATGCGTTTGAAAAAATCACCTCTCGAGTGCAAAGGGTTAAGATAAATCGAAATAGGGAATATTTTTGTACGATGTATTTGGGAATTTATGTAAATATTCTTTACGGGAAGTTGCATTGAAGCTGTAATTCTAAATTGGATATTTTTAGAATATTTGTACGATACTTTTGAAAATTGTAAAATTTGCGAATGTGAGAAGGGTATTAATGTCATTATATATTGGTTTAAAGTGGCAGCTTCATTTTTATGGTGAATCGAGGCCATTAAGCGTCATCGCGGAGGTCTACAGAAGAGTTCGATTGCGCGCGGTTACTAAAACGAACGGTTATTGTAAAAACGTTGACAAGGCTTTGCGAAACCAGTTTCACTAAAACCAATCACGTTTCACGATTATGTCGAATTATGGCTGGCCAGCTACTAGTTAATGCATAATCCACGTTTTAACGGACGTTGCATAAAAAATCTTCCGGTAATGCACGGATCGCTCTGTATGCCTTTAGTCTCTCGGACATGCGTGCCATTCTTTCATGGAGCTACGATTATCGATGAAATTTTTATCCATGAAACAGCATGTCCGCTCCAGCTATGTTCTAAATAACACAGAAATAACTAAAACAAATTCAACTCAAATAACAATAAAAATGTGCATCCTAAATTACCGTCGTCAACTGCAAAACAACGTTAAAGTCAAACAACGAAATATTCATGACGAATGACAACCGGATGAATTCAAAACTACTACACGCCTTGAAATGAATTTTACGATCAATCGAAAATTCGGAAAGTCGATCTTCTCCAACTGAATAGGTAATAAAACAATCGACTGCAGTTTGACAAGAAATGCAGCTGCAAGTTACGTTCCGTATTGACTTTCTTCATAAAATATTAGGTTACACTCAAGTTTTTGGTAACTTTTATATTTTTCGATATTGCTCCTCGTGTTCTCGCTACTTTGTAACACGTTCGCGAACAGTACAAATTTTAGCGAGCCGCAAAAGTAGAAAAAGTGCAAATGCCGTACTCAGAGAGTTAATAATTCCAATAATTCCAAAAAATTAAGGCCATATAGAATTAAATTTCAATATTATAGCATTCACGTCCGCGAACGTGTTAACAATACTGCCTTACAGAAATTAGCGTGTGCCATGTATGGTGCACGTAGCTCTAAACGTCTAAAGAAACAATGTTCTCTCACCAAGGACCGCGTGAACCGGCAATCCGCGCGACGCTGACAATCGAAGCATCTATCTATGCTGCGAGCCTCACAGAAATCATCGGGGAAACACACAAAATCACCGTGCCCGTTTAACTGTTCCGCGGGAGACCCGGCGACATGCAAATCGTCCCGCGCATGGAGAACCAAGTGCTGAGGTCACGCGTGACTCACGACTGTACGCGGCATTTTTGCCAAAAATCGTCGAGGCC